TCACATTTCGGAGTTCGTAGTTCATGTACAGAAGTATAAATGTGTGTATCACGTGTATATCACATGATTCTGTACTTTTTACAGCTGCAAACGACAACGGTCAGTTCTGCTCCGATTTTCGGCGTGTGAATGTCGTAAGCATCATGGCGAGTTACCCGAAACGCACAAAATCTGAATCAGAACGAACTGCGCGGCCGAGGAAACGAACATTTCATGGAAATCAATATTTATTTGATACAGAAGATGGCCAAGATTCGAATATGAGTGCTAGCAATAGGAAATTGGCGGATAGGAGTATCGAAGATGTCATTCTTAGCCCGCTGCACTTTTATCGAATAATCGAATTCTTAACGGTTTTTGGTGCGCTTTCCGATATATTATGTTGCAAATCCTGCAAACAAAAAGTGACTTTTGAAGAGAGTGGACACCGAGGCTTAGGCTTTAACATTGTAGTGACGTGTGCGTGTGGTCATAGAGAAATACAATCGGGTCCGTTTATAAAAAATTCGTACGAAGTAAACAGACGAATTGTGTTCGTTATGAGGCTTCTTGGCATTGGACACGAAGGCCTTAACATATTTTGTGGACTTATGGATATGTGCCAAGGACTTGCAGCATCAGCGTACAATAATATAGTGCAACATTTGCACACGGCATCGGCAACGATGTTTCAAGAAATAACGAAGAAAGCTGTCGAAGAAGAGCGGAAGAAGAATGAAGAAAAAGGAAGAAACGAAACTCATTTAAAAGTGTCCGGCGATGGCTCGTGGAAGAAACGAGGTTTTACTTCACTTTTCGGACTGACAACGCTCATCGGATACTATACTGGTAAAGTAATTGATCTCATCGTAAAAAGTGGATACTGTTACGCGTGTGCTATAAATAAACAGAAATATGACAACGACGAATTCTTGGAGTAGTATGAAAATCATAAAGATCATTGTTCATCTAATCACGAAGGTTCGGCCGGAAAGATGGAAGTTGATTCAATTACTGAAATGTTTATACGATCTGAAGAAAAGCACGGCGTAAAGTACGTCAATTACATTGGCGATGGAGACTCGAAAACGTTCGCGGGTATTCAGAAAATAAATCCGTATGGCGACGATTGCCCAGTTACAAAAAACGAATGCGTAGGACATGTTGAAAAAAGAATGGGTTCGCAGCTCCGAAATATAAAAAAGAAAGAGAAGCTCGGCGGCAAAAATCGACTGACGGAAGTTCTTATAAAGAAATTGACAATTTTTTACGGCTTGGTTATACGACGAAATGTTAATTCAGTGACAGACATGAGAAAGGTTATTTTTGCAACCTTGGATCATTACTGTTCAAGCGACGAATCTCCAAGGCACGATAATTGTCCACCAGGCGCTGACAGTTGGTGCAAATGGCGTCAAGCTGAAGCAAGAAATGAATTGTCAACGTATCAGCATGGAGCTCGAGTTATTGACAACAAGATTGAAAAGCACATCCGGCCAATCTACGAAAAACTTTCCACTGAAGATCTTTTAACGCGTTGTTTAGGCGGACATACACAAAATTCAAACGAGTCGTTCAATGCGACTGTGGCGCTTGAATCCGAAACATCTTCACTCGGGGAAGAAAATCATGAAATTGTCGGCCTACATCGCTGCTGGAATGTTTAATGAAGGCTATTCATCCGTCTTAATGATTATGCAATTGCTGGGTTTGAAGATTGGCCAGCAATGCAAAATGTTCGCAGACAATGTCGATAACCGTCGAATCGCAAGGCAAGATAAACGGCACTCGCTCAACAGCAAGGAGGCCAGAACAGCACGCAGAATGGAGAAAATGCATGCGAACGAGTTGTACGAAGAAGAGGAAGGACTTATGTATGGTGCAGGAATAACCGATTAGTCGATAATTGCTGTACTCATAGTATGTAACTCATAGTATTCACATCGAAAACTTTAAACTGCTTTTTCTCGAGTTTTCATTTTTGCGCTTTTTTCAAATTGGCGGGCAGAATTAAAAAAAAAAGTATATAATCTATCGAAACTAGACAAAGCGCATTTTCTTCAATATTACATTCTCTTCTAAGTGAACCTATTTGTTGGTAAAAAAAAAGTCATTTTTACTATTTTTTACAGCAGGTTGAAAACAAAAATTGTTTACGTAAATTCACACTTTTTCGTTTAAAATTGTATAAAAATTTTTTTTCGCGATTTCTTCCGGGTTTTTGAAGTTCACACAGAAGATAAACTTATAAAATTAACAAATCGTTTGGATTTTTGATTTCAGATAAAAATTACGAGCTCCATCGTGCCCGTCAACTGGACACTCCGTCTTCGAGGCGCTGTCATCCGTGTCTTATAAGTCCGCCATTTTGGAATATTTGTTTACGAAAAAATTTGTGTGATATCTTCGGTGATAGTTTTAAATATATGCCAAGTTTCACGAAGATTGCTTATTTCATTCTCTCAAAAAAAAAATCGCAAAAAACGGCTCGTTTTTAACAATTTACTTGTACTTCCCTCCTTAAAATCTTACAAGGGACACTACCCAAGAGAGAGACACGCCATTTGTCTTGAAACTCGCACGCACATAGTATATGACATAATATTTCAAATGTGATATTTCAAATGTGATATTTTATATCGGCCCGTTTTTAATTTGCACAATTATTTAAACGATTGTTTATGGGCTTTGGACTTATCAATTTCAAGTTTACGGGTTTATGGGTTTTCGAGTTATGGTTTTTGATTGCGTAGGTTTACGTGTTTTTAGGTTTGTGTTTTTAGGTTTATATGTTATGGACTTATAGATATCAGTTTTACGTGCATCATCACTTCGAGTTTTGTTTAAACAATTGTCTAGATAATTGTCCAAGTTAAGAAACGGGCCGATATAAAATATTATATATGAAATGTCATATGCTACATGCGTGCTGAGTTTCAAGAAAAATGTGTCACACTTGGGTAGTGTCCCTTATTAGACCGGTATTCATAGTCGAATCTTATTTCAAAACCGTCTTAAGTAATATCTTAAGATGCGAATACAGCCCTGTAATTGGTTCATGATATCTTAAGACAGTACTTAAGATGATCTTAAATATAAGATCGGACTATAAATATCATAAGATCCTAAATATATAAGATATGTCCTTGTTTCGAACGGCCCGAGGGTGGAGAGCGGCCGGTTTGTTGTGCGAAATGCGGATAGGTGTCCGCTCGCCGCGTGGAGACCGCGGGCTTCGTCGCTAGCAGTCCGCTATCCAGCGGCCCAGTGAGATGACGTGGGGTGCAAGTGATTTGCAAAGTTCTTCGGAGACGGGAGTCTACGGCTCCGTGTTTTGGTGGGTCGCCGACTTGAATAAAGCGAGCTAGATCAATCGAAGCGGCGGCGCTGCGGGGATGCACCGCTTCCCAGCGCCTCCGCGCTAGGAGAAGTCCCCCTTGTCGGAGGATCAAGAGCAATGAGAATCGTAACGTCGCGCGGGCGACGTAGACTAAGTCTCGCGGGGACTTAGGCGCAAGTGGAACTTGCGCGTGGAGTCATGTATGCGACGGCTTTAGCTTCAGTGTCGGTGAAGAAGCGAACGTAGTTCGCGTAAGTGCTGCGGCGATTATGTGAAGGCGAGCGTATGTCGCGCGGATATGCCGCGTCTCTGGCAGCGTCTAAGTCCTGTGCGGACCTGAAGGCGAGCGGGGCTCGTGTGTATATGCTGCGTCCCTGGCAGCAGAGTTCCTGAGTACAACGACGACTCGCGCGGAGTCGGGAGCTCGACCGCAATAAGCTCTGGCGGCGTTAATACCCGGTATATGCAATACGGGAGAAGTCGCGAAGAGAGACGTCCACCGCGGTGGAAGCGTCAAGGCAATCCGAAGTGATTGCGCAAAGCCTTCTCTCAATCCTCGATCGTATTGAGAAGGTGGAGATCCGTGGAGTTACCATACACTTCGTAACACAAACGCCAACGTGTTCTCGGATACTCTAGAGGCGATAACCCAACGTGCAAGCGCACTCTAAAGGGCCGCGAAAACCTAAACCCGAATGCCAGCGTATCTGTGACACTCTGAAGGCAGCGATGTGCAGTGCAGATATGCACACATAGACCTCTGGCGAGGCAAGTACCCAACGTGCTTTCGCACTCAAGAAGGCGATATGAAGCTAACTAGAGTACAAAAGAATACCTCAGCGAGGCAGTGACCAGATGCGCTAATGCAGTCAGAAAACTAGAGTCGTCGCCCGCGGCGTCTTATATAGGCGCCGCACCAAAATTTAACTGCGAGCGACGGCCCCGGCTCGGCACGCTGCCGCGTAGCGGCGGCGGCGTGAAGCCGCGGCGAGCGGTAGTCGCCCGCGCGCGGAACGCGCCTAACGCACGGCCGCCCGCCGCCCGCTATCCGTGCGGACGACAGCTCCCGTACGGAACAGTCCTAAAGACATGGAGTCGATCTAAAAATAAAATATCTTTCTTTAGATGTCCTTTTATGCATTTATATTTTATTTATATATTTCAAAAATATTTTAGACTTTTATGCTGTATAGGTTGATTGTTTTTAGCTATATCTAAGGGTGCGTTCCTTTATTTATTGCGAGTACTGACACTATGACGTCATGAAAGTATACTGCTAGTAGCGTTCCCTTTTAACTTCGAGCACTGTCGAGATGGTGCAAGGTGACAAATGGGAACGCACTACCTTACTGCCACTGCTTTACCTCTCCAGCTGCAGTAGCCGCAGCAGGAAGTGACATCAAAATTCATGACGTCACAATCTCGTCGAAGTGCTTTTGTAGTGCACTGTAACTTATTTAGGAACGCTGTTAGTAGTACTGACAGTACTTGCAGTAAATAACGGAACGCAGCCTAATTTGTTATATATAATTAGTTACGTTTTATACGTAACTTAGTGAAGGATGATAATATTACATTGATCACTAATAACACTTATGACAGTCAATATATTAATTTATTTATAATCAGATAACTTTCTTACTTTAGAAAGATATCATGTATCATTGAAAACTTATATTAGGTTTATTGGAGCTTATCTCTGTTCGCCTTCACCGACTGTTTTGATCCTCACGGAATACTGTCCTCGCGGATCATTGAAAGATGTTCTAGAAAATGAGGCTATTAAATTGGACTGGAATTTTCGAATGTCCTTGATCCACGATATCGTCAAGGTAAAGCAGAGATGTAGAAATTCTATTTATTATAACAATCTATTTGTTATTAAGTTCTTTGAAATATCTAAACATACCAACTCGATAATCAGTTTTTTTCTATAACTCAGTGGTACTTTTTTTTCTCATAGGGGATGTCTTATCTTCACACTAGTGAAGTTTCCGCCCACGGAAAATTACGATCATGCAATTGCTTAATTGATGGTCGCTTTGTTTTAAAAATTTCGGACTTTGGTCTCAAAACTCTTACTACGCCCTCCGACTTGATTATGGACGAAAATTATTACACTAGTAAGTTACACAATTATACTACTATAATTATCAGGGTTTGAAAATAATGTGTTACTTGTACGCCGTTACAAGTTATTTTTTGCCACAAACGATTTGACTAAATAAATAGAAATAGCAGCATTATTAGTATTAATAACGGAAGTTATTAACTACATTTTTTGAAGAATGATAATAAATATAATAATTACTTAATTACTTTTATCGTTATTTTTTACATGTACATATACATACGGTGTCATGTATACCTACTTTGCTTAAAGAATCCGATAAAAGAATTAATAAAAATATATAAAATTTTAATTAAAATACTACATGAATTTATCATATAGTATTTTTTGCCTAAACATATCATTTCTACCGGAAATTTCAATTTCTCATATTTTAACTCTTATAAAAGTGTTATCAATTTTGTTTTATACCGTAAAAACTTACTTTCAACGATGAAATATTAATATATACATACTTTCCATATAATTTTATTATTTTTTTTACTAATTCAGTTATATAGATTTTTTTTTATATAATCCTATCAAATCATTTAAGCAAAGTGGTCATTATAACTACAGTTATGTGTACGTAATAAAATCGTTTTATATACGATTTTCAACCATATACTTATATGTATAAAGTTGAAAATTGCATAAATAGCTCTACTTGTACTATATGGCTTTCGGATGGGTACCGCATCCTTTGTGAATTTGTGTTCAAAATTTCTTGAACATTTAAGTTCACTTATTTAGGGAGAGGAACAACCAGAAATTTAAGTTATAATGGCTAGACATATATGACGTATATAGCATACATAAAATGAGCAATAATAAATCGTAAAAGAAGTTTTCAAAACTTCTAAAAAAAGTAAAAAGTATAGTTGGAAATTGAAATAATTCGTTATTTATCGAATAACAAATTTGACAACGAATTAGTTTTCAAAATGAGTAATGATAACAGTAATGAGTAACGAGTTACTTTTAAAAAATAACTTTTCCAATACCGACAAAAATATGTAAAGTAATATAACAATTAATCAGAGACAGTTAAATAGAGATCATCGCGATATGTGACTTAAATTTTCAGAATTACTCTGGGTCGCTCCGGAGCTCCTGCCGTTAACGATAACACCTGGGAGCATAGCGACGCAAAAAGGTGACGTGTACAGCTTCGCGATTATTTTGGAAGAAATAGTGGTTCGTGGTGGACCGTACGAAATAGCCAGAACTTTCATGACAGCGCAGGAAGTATAACCCGTTTTAACATGCGATATTTTAGAGTCGATTTTTTAATAATAGTTTAAACTTAGATTTAAATTTAAACTCTGTTTAAACACATCAAACACATTTCTTAGGATACAGTTTAAATTTAAATCTAAGTTTAAACTACTACTAAAAAAATCAGCCCTTAATTACTTCTTCTGTTTATCTCAATATTTAATCATATTGTGCCGATGTTTCATACTCTAAAGATCGTGAGCAAAGTGTCAGCATCAGAAAATCCACCATTAAGACCAGAAGTTGCTCCGAAGGAATGTCCGCCGGACATATTATCACTAATGGAGAGATGTTGGCACGAGTTTCCCGAAGAACGACCTAGCTTCCATGCAATTCGCGGCACAATACGAGGAATTATGAAGTACGACTCAATAACATTGTTTTAAATGTTGCAGTTTCATAAAATTTAGGAACTCCAGGCAGATCAAAAAATCACGATGACGTCAAAAATGACGAAAAAAAACTAAACTTACTTCTCAGTCATAATTCTATTATTTTCTAATTATTTTGATTTTCTGTTCTACTCAGAACGTTATTTATAACACGATAACTTGTGTAATATACAAAGAGAAAACTGCACCAAGATACTAACTTTTTTCTGCAAAGTATTAATTGCACAAAATTAAAAATATTTTTACACAATGAAAGCACATGCAAAAATAAATTAGAGCATTATTTTGTATGTGACAAGAACGATAAAAAATTTAAAACTGACATTTCGAACTGTCAGTTAATGTAAATATTTATTTGATACAAAAGTTTTGCAATTTGTACAAAGTGTTGCACTTATATACAAGTCAGTATGACAGGTTGTCTGTGTTTTGCTATGTGGTCGTGCGCAGTCTCAATAGACCTTAGTGCCTATTGCGGAATGCTCACTTGGAACATAAACTTCATAGAAAAGGAAGCGCGCAAGTGTGCATTTCACCAAGATTTATTGAAATCGCGTACGACTACACTCCTGCTATCGAAACGGATAGCAACACGTGATTGAGCTATACAGGGTATTTTTTAACCTCCGTCCACGAAGCACATAGCGTTATTCCTTATGAAAAATTAAATCGAAAAGTCCTGAACCATTTTTGTCTTTGATGCTTAACAAAGCAGATAATCTTTAATAAATTCCAGCAAATCCGCGCCGTCTTTTAGAAGTATACATGTCGTAGAGGTATACTTATATATACAGGGTATTTCTTAACCTCCGCCCACAAAGTACATAGTGTTATTTCTTATAAATAATTGAATCGAAAAGTCTTGAACTGTTTTTGTCTTTGATGCTTAACGAAGCAGATATTCTTTAATAAATTCCAGCAAATCTGCACCGTTCTTTAGAAATATACACGTCTATGAGTCGCGCGCCTGGTAGTATGCATGAATATTCCGCCGCTACATTCACACACTACCAGGTACGCAGCTCACAGACGTGTATACTTCTAAAGAACGGCGCGGATTTGCTGGAATTTATTAAAGAATATCTGCTTTGTTAAGTATCAAAGACAAAAACTGTTCAGGACTTCTCGATTCAATTATTCATAAGGTATAACGCTATGTACTTTGTGGGCAAAGGTTAAGAAATACCCTGTATATATAAGTGTAGCACTCTATATTGAAGACTTTTATAAATACATAAAACTCTCTTATAGAAGTTCACAATATAAAAGGATAGTTATCAACGACATATTCAGAGTGACATATTCAGTATACTCACTTAAATCGTATATCTTAAATTTCTCACTTGATAATACGAGAAAATATCTAAGGAAAACGTACACGTTTAAGGGGACAATTATGATAGAAAAAAAATTTTTCTGGGCCATTTTTTAGAGATTTGAAGGTCAAGGTAATTTTTTTTAAATAGAACTAGATTAAAGCCACCAAAACCACTTTGTTTTTGGAGGTTATGTCTTAATAAAAAGCTCAAAATATCAAGCGTCGCGGTCGCGGCGCGACCCCGAATAAGTATGAAACAAAATAACGCGACCGTGTAAGCTTATCTGAAATTTCTGGGTCTATTGGTCTTCCGAGTCAAATATCTCAAGCACGAAAACTATAATCGAAAATCTGATAAAAGTTTTCTTATATAATGTTTAGCGCGCGCGTGATTAAGATTGGTGCAGGCAATACAGAGATCTCGAAATCTTGCCCGCAAAAAGTCCTTTTTATTTTTGCAAAGATTCTCAGATTTTTTCAGACACATGTACGCACGCACATAAGCGAATGAGTTTATCCATCAAGCCGCATTCGCATCGCTAAGCGATTCAGCTTCAAATCACACATATACACACACACAAACGATGCGCGTTTGCCGTCAGATTACGTTTAATATATGGACGTAAGAATATTTGGACGGAGCATATTTCGCGAGGAGTGAAGCCACAGGGGTGAGAGAAATGAAAGTCGGAAATGATCACCAAATATGGCGGTGGCCTATATCACGGAGCACAATGTCTTGGTATAGTGTATTGGAAAATGTACAAAATGAATACGTGTACGTATATGAGTATAAATAAGTGTGAATATAAAGTTTTATCCTGATTGCAACTGTCTGTAATACTAAAATATACCTGTGAATTGATAGTCTTACCATTTTTACGTTCCCATTCTAGTTGTATTTTATTTTTTCGGTTTCTCGGTTCTCCGGCTTTTACAATGTTTCGCGTAACAATCCGGCATCTTCTACCACAAAATATCCTATCCATGAGGACATTTGACCATAAAGGTTAAAATCCTTGATCTATGTATACACATATGTCATATATATATATATATATATATATATATATATATATATATATATATA